ACTGTCGCTTTTTACCCTTTAACACGATTCCCAGACCTCTGCCAATCCTGCTGTCACCATTCACCAGCCCAGAGTGGGTTTAGAATCATTGGAAAGGAAGAGGAAAATCTTCATTATTTTTTTTTTAATGCATAGAAAGCTTCATAAAAGATTCAGTGGTCTTAAATTGAAATCCATAGATTTGTACAAAAAGTGACTCCACTTAAGTGAGATGATTTGGAGAAAAGCAACATAATTGAGTGGAATGGAAATTAAGCAAGTTTAAATATTGACTGCATTAGAAATTGCAGAAAATTTGCAGAATTTTTTTAGGATTTCTGTTCACGCTCCTCCAGCATATCAAGAACCAAACATGAGCCTGATTGTAGACTGAACTTTTGGTGTGTCTTTGTAATGAGTGACAGAGGTAAACTTCTAAATACAGGTGAAGGATACATAATCATAAACCTGATATAAATTAACGCTCTGTGTTTATATAACTGTGGGATAACACGCAATCAGGTGTATTTGCATATACCTTAACTGAGTACAGCATTTTCCTCCTAAGGGACAGTGAGGGCTCTAAGGCAAGAATCTGACACTGTGCATAGATTTTTCTATTAAATCTGGTATATATTTTGCACCACTGAGAGTAACCACATGAACTTGACCCATGTTGTCTTTATTCCATCTAAAAAACAAACTTTGTGAGTTTACAATTACAGTTAATGGTAATATAACAGTATTCTCAGATAATTGTAAATAATGGTCACCCTACCCTCACAGCTCTCATGATATCTTCATTAATAAATCTGGGAAAGACACTTCTTGTATTCCTACTGTCTGCAGATGAAGGCTAAATAAACTCTTTATTTTGGAAATTATAGCTATCCTTGACCTGGATCAACTCTCCTTTCCAGCTTTTAGCCTTAGGGGTCTTCCACTAAGACATAAAACCTATATTTTCCCCTCGAAATCTTTGTGACTCTTCAGGGCCCCGTTGAGAAGTGGTCACTTTCCTGGAACTTTCTTTATCACCTCCCAAAAAACGTGAACGCCCTGTTTTGATTCTCTAAGGCACCTGACATCTCCATCTTAGTTGTGGCTGGGACTGCTATATGTTTATCAGCCTCATTTCATTTTCCTCTTGGCCACATAGCTAAACCTCATTTCCCAGCTCAATTTCAGTTAGGTGGGTCTATGTGACTGGGCTCTGGCCAATAGAATGTGGGTCAAAGGATATATACCAGTTTGAAGACTGGCTCCAAAAGACCTCCCATCCAATCCTCCATGCCCTTTTCTCTTTCCTCGTCTGCTAGTGGGATTCAGAGAATCCCAGTGAGTATCCATGATTCTAGAGTATGGAAAGTCACTAGGTGGAAGGACCCTGGGTAGCAAATGTCTTAATGGAAACTGACTAACACTTAAAAATTATGAGTGCAGAGGGAGCTTTTATCGTATCAAGCCGCTGAGATTTTGAGTTTGTTTGTTACAGTTGTTATCCTATCTTGGCCAATTCATCAGTATGTTTATTATGTTGTAGTCATTTATAGTATTTGTCATACGTCTTCTGTTTTCCACAGTGCCTAGGATGATGTTTTCGCATAGTTGAAATTCAATACGTGATTCATGATTAAAAACATCATCTTATATCTTACATTCAGAGCTTATATGGAAAGTTCTAGAGTCAGCATTAGATGAGAGGTGGTAGGAGCTGAGGCGAGAGCAACTCTCTAGGGAAGAACTACTGGAAGGTGAGTGTCCAGGTGTTGCTGACAGCACCCCCAGGAATTAATACACTACATCACCCCTAAGTGACAGTTGAATTTTATATCATCATGGTCAGGAGACTTCTTAAAAGAAAAAGGCTTTCCCCTGCAGGAAACCAAGAGGTTCAGAACCTGAAGATTTCTTCCTCTTACAACAGAGAGGAAATCCACGTCAAAAATGTACCCCTAGAAACATAACTTTGGAGCTTCAGGTGAACTTTGAGGCTATCTAGTGATTGCTGAAGCCCCTATTCTACGAGAAAGCTGAGGTTCAGAGAGGTAAATTACTTTCCCAAAGTTCCTGACCCAACCCTAGAATCTTCTCTGTTATAGATATCTTTATTCCTCTAGTTTAAAAAGTAAAGTTTTAAAAATACCTTCTTCAAACAATGACTATTAAATTCGTCCTCTTCCTTCACTCTCACTCCATATAAAAAACTAAATGAAACATATGTGTGATAGAAGAGTATAATTTGTGTTGGAAAGGTTTGGGGAGGAAGATTGTTCTGTTTGTCCAACCTTGAAATTATAGACCTTTAAAAGGTCTGTCACTCTATTGTCGTAGGTTGATGCTGCTTAAATACAGGCCCTTGAATACAGAAATGATTTAGTGGTAGGGGTACTTTATAAAATATGCACAAAACATTCAGTCTGAAACACTGCCAGAATCCACACGTTCATAGTTCTACTGCATATTTACCCTCCCATTCCCCTCACTTAACCAACTTACTCTCTCTCTTCATTGTTCCCTCTTCTGACGCCTTCAGACTATAACACAGACTCCTATTAGCTTTCCATTACTACTTGGGCATAAATACCTCCCACTTGTAGTCTCCACCTACTACACACTCCCATCCCACTCTAGCTCTCATTCCCCCAAACCAGCATTGGCCACCCACCTTCACCTCACAGAGTAAAGAGAAGAAAACTAACACGAAGTGCTCATGTTTGCTTTTGGGCTTCTGTGTTCCAAGAGGCCCATTACTTGATAATTATCTGTTCACGTGTCTGACACCACACCAGGCTGAACTCAGCCTCAGGATCCAAAACATAACAGACATGCATTCAGCATGCATTCTTCCAACAAATACGCACAGAATGCTTGGGTGCTTTCCATACATTAGCTCATCTAGTCATGCCCACAACACTTCAAAGGAGGTATTAGTATCCTCATTTCACAAATCACTTGTTTAAAAACAGTTGATAAGAGGCAGCACCATGATTCTACCTGGATTGGGTTGACTCTAATATCAGATGTTGTCCTGGGCTCCCTTAGTCTCTTTGGTGATAATTCCTGCTGTATCTTCTTTTCTACCTCTTCTTTCCAACTTCTCACTCTAACTATCCCTTTTCTCACTTCTGCAGATATTTCTTTATTTGCCATCTTCTCCCACTCCCTTGGACTCAGCGGTTAAAATGGACAATTGGGTTTTTCAACCTGCCGGTGTCATTTCTAGAACACTAATTTTCCACCTTCTTTCTGATTCCTATTATTTGAAGTCTAGCTATAAAATTATCTACGCTGTTGTCTTTCACTTCTCCCAGCCCAAAGGCAATATGATTTTAGCATCTGATTTATGCTTTTTTTCATGTCCTGTACTCAACAATTTAACGATGCATAAAAATGACCCTTCAGATTCCTCAAACTCTCAGTTTTTTCAGACTTTTTGCCTTAATAGAAACGCACGTCCCTTCCTTTCTACCTGGTAAAGAACTTTGTCTCACTCTGGATCTCATTAACACAGAAACAATTCCAATTTAGAGATCTAGTAATTCTATTATCTCTCAAATCACCTTGCATCCACCAAAACTATATCTATTGTTTAGCCATTTCCTCTTTAAAATTCTCTTGGCTTCTACAAGTCAAGTGCTGCTTCATTTTTCTCTACTCCTTCATTTGTCATGGAATTGAGGACTCTGAATCTATAAATCAAATAATATTATACATACTGGAGAGCATATATGCAGATTCATGATAAATCTAGCTTTAGTGTGAAACTTGCCCTGTAAAGTTTTAATTAATGTGTTTTATAAGGTGTAAAAATCGTTTCTCACAAACAAGGATCCCCTAGACGCCCATTTCTCTGTCTATAGTAGCTGGATACCCCTAGGGGGCGCTCCATCTCGCAAAATATAAGTGACTGACAGGAGCGTGCCTAACGGATGCGATCACTCTAGGGGTGTGGCCTCACAGGAAGACCTCAGCCCACAGGAACGAATTTGGGTTAGAAACAGGTTACAAAACCTATTTATGTTCAGAGCCTTGGAAGAATGTCTGCTTTGAGCCTAAGCCTGTCCTGAGTATCCAGAGTTCGCAAAGCAAGGATTGGGAGAGGTGAGCAACATGCACTAGACAGATTGCCTTTCTCCTTGGTGTTCCCTCACCTGACTCAGCAAAAGTGGATGGAGTTTGCAGAATTGCCCTACTAGGAGTGTCCTTGTGACGGTCTGTAGAGCATTAGATTGAACTGAATTCTCGACAAAGTCTGCTGTGTACCCCTTTCTGCTGAGCAAAAGTTACCCCACACCTGCTGCAATCGACTCATCTTAGGAGCTAAGTGTCAGGCAATTTTGAAAGACTCAGGAAAGGAGTAATAATAGCAACAGTGATATGAGTTCGGTACTAGAGCAGAAAGCTCGCTGTCAGTTCTTCTGGTACATACAACAGGCTTTCACGTTCTGGGGTCCAGACAGTACGGTGACCCTCTTACCCCATGAGACTAACCACAGTTCCCTCAAGTGAAGAACCTCCCAATTCACGCACGGAGTCTGCTTTAGTCTCACCTTCGACCTTTGTCATCAATTGATTAAGGGCTATTTGTTTTTCCAATGCTGTATTAGGAAAAAGAAATTACATAAGGGCTCAAACATCAGCTACGTATTTAAAATTCTGCTGCTCTGGTTAGGCAGCCGCATTTCAGGGGAAATGAGAAATGCTGCTCCCAGTCTGTGGAAGCCCAGCGTTTCTGATCCAGGGCTGACAGCGCCGCTCCAGCTGCCCCCGAGGACCCGAGGAGCCCGGGCCTTGGCTCCGCCCCGCCGCGCCGGCCCCTGTGGCTGCGGTGCCCGCGGGCCCCCAGCTCCGGGCCGGGAGTGCAGCCGGCGCGCGCGTGCGGGTCTGTGGGTCTGCGTGTGTGGGAGATGAATTGGAGCCATACGACGGGGTGTTTCCTTCCGAGTGGTTTTGATCAGCAATCCATTAGGGGATCCTGGAAACTTTTTTCTGGCTAAAAGGATGAAAACTGAGTAAGTACATACAACTTTGAACTTGAAACGGAATGAAACAAATACAAGCAAAACCCTAACAGTAATCATGTCCATTCAAACCGTTTATTCCCTTTTTATTTTAAAAGCCGTGAATGCTTACAGGAAAGTGGCAATTTAAAAGTGAATGGAGGGAAGCAGTTAAGAAACATGAAAGGCTAGGCAGGACGGCTTTAAAACCGGAGGAAAAATGAGGAACTGCTAAGGCGAGCTGGCCTGCATCCAGCTGTGCAACAGGCTCTTGGTTTTAACCTATTGCGTTCTCCGATGCTGTTTTCCGGCCCCAGATTTACTTTGGTGTTGTTTTCTCTTTTCCTGTAGAGACTTTAAAGGATGTTGTGAAAATAAGGCATTACCGGAAGCAACAGTTTGGCAGCCTGGGGTATTATTCAGGTTATTAGTTACAACTATTATTATTTTGATGTCTTTTTTTAACCCAGGCCAGCCACTTTTTACTGTCATCCATGGAAAGGCTCTTATTAACCGCCTCAGACTTTGGGGATCTATGATTCTTTGGCATGACCCTTCGGAAAGTTCTTAAGCGGGGATGGAGCAATCTTGATTTAAGTTGTGGAAAAAGAAGACAGATTTGTATTTTTCATGCTGACAAAAAATAGCTGCTATGACTTTTCCGGCAACGTGGACAGGGGCCAAGTGAAGCTGAACTGGTCATGGTCTGTCGTCCAGTGTTCCTTTGTCGTCGGCGATTTTGCCCCCGGCCCTTCTTGGTGGGCTTGGTGGTGGCAATCTGTCTCTTCTACCAGACTCTGACGCTCCGAGGGACGAGGAAGCTTACAGCTGCTGTCCCTGGGGCTGCCCCAAACACACCCACCGAAACCCAGGCAAGCAGATGCCAGAAAGGATTCTCTGTGGACAAACAGTGCTTCCTTCTCTCTGGTAATGCACAGGAAATCGGAAAGGTAAGACGGGCATAAGCTTAACCTTGACATTTTCTGCACAGATAGCAGTTTGCCTCTCTCTGTCCTCTCCGTAAAACTAAAATTAACTTCCATGAAGTCTGAGAGGGATCCAGAGTATACACAGCCCAGAGAGTGACCTTATGACAGTGAAACACATGTCAGCTTCAGCTTCTTATATTTACATCCAGAAAGTCCTGGCTGTTATTTTATCTCTTAGAATTTCAATTCATTTCAGCTGAATGAAAGAGACAGTTTGGAGAAGGTGGGAGTGATGTGAATTCTTTCTAAAATATTAGAATTCTAAGAGATCTGAAGTTTTACAGTGCAGGAACATAAACCAAAGATTCATAAAACTTGATAAACATTGAGTATCTCCTCAAGGCCATTGGTATGAGTGCCTAGAGCATTCCAGACTCAAAGATACTCCAAAATTCCATTTTACAATTGGTTAAATTAATTTTTCATTGGTGAACACATTTCTAAAGCAATATATTTTTTCTGAAGCATTTAAAAGAATAGTATCAAAGATTTCTTTGGAAGAATTGACACACTGCATTTTATTGTTTATAGAATTAGGGAAATATAGATTATTCTATACTTATACTTTTTTTTAATTAACTTTTTAAAATTAACTTTACTAATTAATTAACTTTACTAATCTCAGATGTCCAATGGTTGGAGAAAATACAAAATACAAAACAACTCAGAATTTCTATTTTCATATACCACTCTGTTCATGCCTGTCAGTGAAATGATGACCTTCAAAATAGTCCAGTCTAAAAAAGAAAAAGAAAAAAAAAGCTACACATACAAAAATTCGTGGTAGCAAAGCCACTGATTTCCATGCTACAGCAGATAGTATAGCAAGATAATTAAGGAATCTGTAAGTACTACCTTATATCTGCAATAGAATTAGGTACATCCAATGATCGTGGTTATCGTTTGGAGCAGAATTTCATGTTAAGTATACACTACGGCTACCATTATTGCTAACACCTCCAGCATCACTACCATTTTGTTTCAATAACTCTTTTATGTCTTTCCTTTCAGACTCATAACCCTGTGAGGTAGATAAAGTAGGTGTCATTGTCCTCATCTTACAGATAAGATGACTGACACTCAGAGATGTTTAGGCGGGCCACAGGGCTGGCATTATGACATGGTACCTCCACCTGGTGCCTCCTGCAGGACTGATGCTCTAAATAAAAGTAAATTCAAAGCTCTAACAACAATTTGTGAAACCAAAACTGTAAGAACTTATTTGAAATACACAATAGTATTAGGTTAGAACACAGAAAATTTGAAAACTTTTGAGTGACTTATTTTATCGATAATGTCAAGAAGCATCTTGATCAAGAAATATGACAAAGAATAGCGGGTAATTTAACTAGAAACACATCTAGATGAAACCTCAAATGCAAGTGTGAATCAATTATTAAATGCTCTAAAGTCATTGAAGAATTTTTAGTTTTTCTGTGTTTATACTAGCATTAACTTAAATCATTTGCATTTTGGGTTTTTTTTAGAACATCAAATTTAGGATGGGTATAAACTGTGACTTTGCAAGTCACTTCTTGTTTGTTTCCAATATTAATACATATAATTTCTTTAAAAATAGGTGAGATGGTTTTGCTCTTTAAGTACCTAAAATCTTTGCTAAGAATTTTGGACAAAAAGGTTTTTATTTTAACTTACAGCCTTTCTTACTCCCTACTTGACTTTACGTGACTCCTGCTTTTGCCTGTAGCTTAGACATATGTTAACTGTTATTTGTAGGCTGTCACAGAAAATTCCATTTCAGACTTGGATCTCGGGCTACTTATAAACCATCTGAAACTTATTGGCTGCTTGTGTAAAACATTCACTCTAGAATTTTCTTCACAAAAAAATGCCAAACACATGATGATTTTTTTTTCAAATTGTTCACAGTCTCAGATATTTTAATCATAAGCAAGATTCTAAATTCACAATTATAATTCAGAAGCCCACTGGATACGAAAACTGAATTTCCAAACATTTGCCATGTACCTCTATTTTTAACTTAACCTGTGCCAGCCATTGGTTTAGAGCCAGTTTTTATTAGAGATAGAAAGGAAGCTAGAAAGAAAGTATCATGCAGAAGTTGTTTAAAATCAGATATAATTAGTTCTCCTTGTAATATATGTTCCAAAAAAGAATCAAATAATAATCCAGTTTTGAAGATTAAATATTCTTTCAGATAACTAAAATGAAAAAAGAAATGCCTTTGGGGTCAATATATAGATCATTCTCAAAAACAGCTCCTTATGAAGTTCATTAAAAAAATAACTGAGAAGATGCTCCATAGATTTTCCTTAAGACCTAAAATATAGCTTTTAAGCATTTTATAGAAGAATCATTGTTTCTATCTATAAATTTTGAGTTTTGTTATTACTTTTATTGGCAAACCAAAATATTCATGTTACTAGGACTTTCTCTTACTGGTATCCATCCATCTTAAGGTGGTTTTTAAAGTTACTTAAAACAGCTGATTTTGACCTATGGGTTATGGATTCCAGAACGTATTTGATGTATAAGATGTCCCCAAACCCAGGCATTTCATGCAAAATATTGTGCGTATGTGTATGTGCAGTTCTTTGGGAAAAATCACAATCCCCTTCAGATATTCAGACCTAAAGAAATACTAAGAAACAAGAAAAATGCTTAAAAAGCAATATGTTTAAACTTCAACTGTCCCTGCAGGAAGTATAAGTTGGGTCTGGATTTACAAATCTAAAAAAGGAAAACAAAACCTTAATTAAGGAATCCACCTGAGGACATTTGAAAAAGTGTTTCAATGAATGCTGTGGTGTCTGCAGGGATAAACATTCAGAAACTAAAATATACTCACAGTGTATTTCTTGAATCATAGTTTTCATACTTTGATGAATAAGGAATAAGTAAGTATTTCCTAGTCTTTTTGGTTGCAGTTGTTTCTAAGAGACGACCTTTTGTACTTTATCAGCCTAGCAATAGAGGGTTCTGTGGTAGCAAATATTCAAAGGTGGGTGACTGACTGTGCCCTTTACACCTTTACAATTGGGATCTGGTTCAACGTCCAAAACTGCTTTCAGTACAGATTAAGATCGTGGTATAGTATATGACAACTTTCCGTAGTGAGGAAGTACTCTCCCTCTTCTGGCCAAATTTTAATTCTTTTTTCCATTTGAACTTTCCAAAGGGCCTTGCTAAGCAGATGTACTTTTGTCATTTCTTCTGGGTTTTCTCCCAACATTAGTTTGAATTTTGGCTGGTAATCTGCCATGTCTTAAAATTATTTCAATTTAATAAATAAACTGAAGACAATTTCAGTTGTCTTTACTGAAGTAGGTCACTCAGTAGATTTATTTATTTTCCTGGAATCTAACACTTCAATATTTCACAACATAGGAAGCACATTGAATTATAAACAGACACAATGAAAGAAAATCTCCTTAGTATGTGCTCCTTTAGTGGAAACTTTGCTGTCTGGGGAATACATTTATACTTACCATAGCCATGTGTTTCTGATTATCTACTGTTGTTGCTCCATAAGGAGAATTACTATTTCTTTGTTGATTGACTATTCATTTTCCATTTCTTCTTGACTCTCCATTCTTCAGTGAGTGTTCTCTACAACTGTTCTGCCCACTATCCAACTGTAACCCAATGCAAATAAATGAATGTTTTCATTATGAATGTTTTATTTAATTTTGTTTGTGATTCTAATAATGCATAATATATTTAACATTTGAAAATTTCTAGAAAATTACTTGTTTAGCCCAGGTTTTTTAGAAATAGAACCTGAGGCAAACACTTCATGCTAACAGTTGATTGGATGGTGCAATCCCAGGGATTAAAGAGTAGGAGGAAAAAAGGATGAGGGAGAGCAAACAAATGGGTGCATTACGGGAGACATATCCAGAGAGGCTGTGTTAAACTGCTGCATCTCAGAACAGGCACTGGGAGAAAAGGGCAGGAAGGGCAGGCAATTTATCTCCTGGCTTTCCTTTCTTCTGTCTTTCATTGGTTAGAGAGAGTTGTCCCATGCTACTACCAGAGAGTGTTACCTGGGATCTGTTTTTTTTTTTTTTTT